CAAGAAAGAGAAGTGTCATCAAAGTCATGCTATATGCGAGTTTATGTATATGTATATCATACACTTTGCCAACTAAAAAAAAATTAAAAATTGAATTCTATTTAAAATAAAATTTATGCTAATATAAAAATATTTTTCGCTTACCCAAAAAATCTCAGCATTTTTATTTCATTTTTATTTCATTTTTATGACAAGCTTTGATGCCCTTGAGCAAAGTTTCTTGGCAATTTGCTTACATTATAGATAAACACCTTTTTAAATTGTTCTTAGCGAACGAACATATCAGAAAGCCATGTAAATGGATTCTTTACAGAGTGACCATTGCATACTTTTAGATGCATAAGCTAAGACTATGACGGCATAAGAAATATAAAATAAGGGTGATAACCGAAAGTTAAATCGTTTAAAGAAAAGATTAAGAAAACAAAAACATAATCGAAAAGTTATACTCTTTTTTAGCAAAAAACCTAGTTAGTGTAAAATTGGTATTGCATACTTTTGGGCGTATATGTTAAATATATAGTGGCATTTGTTAAAACGTAAAAAAAATTATAGCCCAGAATCTCGGCTTTTTCCTTCTTACATACTGAGATCAAAAAATAATATACAATTAAATCGAAAATCTACAATCTAAATTTATACACAGTTTAACCAAATAAAGCTTTCGAAGCTCTTTAAAGCCTTTTCCGGACGTCATGCAGTTAACAGAAAAAAATTGAGAAACACTTTTCATTGCTGCTAAGTAAGCTTTAAATCTTTAAGCAATTATAACAGTTCAATTTTGAACTTTTAAGTGCATTACAAATATTGTCCATTTGAGCTTTTTTAGCTTTTCAGCTACATTAACTAGCTCCGCAATGAAAAGTGATTTTTATTGAAAGCTTTCGTTGAGCTTGTGGGCAATAAATGGTGCAAGTCTCTGCTAAGATTAACAGTAAATTTTCCAAAAAAAAAAAAAGAATTTAGTAGTTAACTGATGCTAAGTTTAAGTGAAAGATACAAGCTTTGCATTGTAAAATAAATAATTTGTAAGTGAGGCATATTTTATTGGATATCTAGCACTTTTGCTACGTTACTCTGAACAAAATAGCTTGAAGTAGTTTCGAATTTTACTCATTTTCCCATTCCTTATTCCTCTTACGGCGTGCGATCGCCCTTCGGCAGGGAATATCAATCCATCCGAGTGTATTTCTGACATGAAATAAAGCTCCTCATAAGAAAACCATCAGCCGTTCAGAGGCGGCTTAGTATAAACTGAAGATCTTTCCATTGTTGGCGAATTGGGGATAGCCAGGTAGCACACTCTGTTAGACTACTTTAAGGGCTAGAAAATCAAAAAGTCTCACTAAATTATATGGAAAAATAAACTTGCTCCATAAACTCCCACCAAACAGGTATGATTAATTGACCATCTCTTAAGAGGAGTCTCATATTAGTCTCCTGAGAATTTCAGTATTAAACGAAATATTTCTCTAAGGCTATTAGCGCTTTCAATGTGGTCCAATGCCATATGTAAACCACTTTTTTGTTTAGACCACTTTACCGCGATAATCTCAAGAGTTGCCACATAAAAAGTGCACATTTCGATAAATGATAAAGGATTGTAGTCGGGAAGTAAGGACTAAAAGCTTTGAGATGTTCGTGTCTCTGCTAAGGATAAGGTTGTCTACATTGAAAGAATTTTTTTATATGAATAATACTTAAAAGCTTTCAAAATCTATACTTACGCGAAGAAAATTAACCAGTTTCCTTTTGCAAAATATAAAATTTAAACCAACGATTTTGTTTCTTTTTTAACATTTTCTCAAATATGCGCATAATAATAATATTTATTGTTACATTTGTTGTTGTTGTTCTTGTTGTTTTTATGTTACTTATTCCTTGTTTATTATCATATTTATATTTGTATATATAATATGTATATAGTTTGTTGTTATATATATATTTCTCTTTTATATTTACCTTTTATGTCATAATAGTACTCGATTATATGTATAATACAATAATTTTCCATAAATATTGACGTCTATAATTATTGCAATCAGTTTTTTCGCTCTTTCATACTTTTCCTCATCCTTTCCTCATTAATTTTCTTGCCAATAATAATACGGAACGCACAACTCAAAACGCATATAATATAAATGTAATGTCGTATGTATATGTATATTTTTATATGTATTTACATAGCTTTGGATTACTTTCAAATAAACATTTGGAATATACAAAAAAAAAAAACTTTTTAAAAACATGGTTATATGTATTTTAAATACGTATGTATAATGTGTACTTATTTAATATTTTATTGCCAACCTAGTGGATACGATTACATATGTAGGTGAGAATTACGGCTGGTAGATTATATTTTAGCTAAGTTTTATATACAATTTGTTTATATATGTTAATTTTTGTATTTTTTTTACTAAATTAAATAATTAAATATCAAACATAAAATTTAAAACATAAAATATAAAATATAAAATCTAAAATACAAAATATAAAATATAAAAAATAAAAAATAAAATATAAAAATATAAAATATAATATATAAAATATAAAATATAAAAAATAAAAAATAAAATATAAAATGTAATATATAAAATATAAAATATAAAATATAAAATATAAAATATAAAATATAAAATATAAAATATAAAATATAAAATATAAAATATAAAATATAAAATATAAAATATATAAAATAAAATATAAAATATAAAATTTATAATATATATTGTAATAAATATTAAATATGAAATATAAAGTAAAATATAAAAAAAATATTGATAGCACCTCTTATCAATTCGGTCAAAAAAAAATCTCCAAGCATTTTTCTACGATTATGGAGTGTAGGCAGATTAATGAGCAGTAAACGACTTCCTTAACGCGAATAATAGGAATTGCTTTTGTTCTTACATGCCTATGTATGAGTAAATGAGCCAAATAATATATTATTAATACTTTTAACAATATTTACAAAACTTCTCAACAATTAAGCATATTTTTTTAAATTTTTTTCTACATTATTTTACAAAAAATATTTGAAGCTATTTTTAGCCAGCAACATTACGAAAATAATAACATAAAACTTAAAATCAAAAGGCGGTTCATAAGAAGTAAGTAAATAAATGCACTTTTTTTTAAATTTTTTATCATAAAAAATATCATTTATTGCTATTCTGAATTATGAACTTTTTTACAAAAATTTCAAAATAAAATAATATAAAATTAAATTTAATAAAAAAAAAACAAAGTGATATATAAATAATAATTAAACTTGAAATTAAAAAGAGTTAAAGTATAATAAACTTACATTAAAGAAAAATAGCACTACTATTTTTTATATAAAAAATAAAGGTAAACTAAATTTGGACAAAAAAAGAGTTTACGTGAAGTTTTTTTAAATTAAAAATACAAATAATTTAAATATGCTATATTTACAATACTTTTCCCCTTTTGTTGTTTCATTTTAGGTTTAGGTAGAAATTTGATATATAAAAAAGTTGCAATACTTTACGAAAGAAATTTTATATAATTATTTTAAAAAAATTATTAGAGAAAAAATTTAGAAATAAAATTTCATAATATAAGCCACAAAACAAATATTATACAAAATTTTTAAAAAATTTTTATTTAATTGGAAGTGGCAGTTGAATTATTTAAATAAAAAAATTAAGAAATTTTTATTTTTAGGGGAACAAAGTATTTAAAAAATCAGAAATTTATACCAGTAAATTCTGTCTCTAACATTTTTTCTTCTATATAAAATTAAAGTTTTTAATCATTTTAGTTTTTTAAAAACATAGAAAACTTTTTTTTGTAACTAAAATATATTAGTGCCATAATTCACAAAAAAATTTTAATTAAATTTATTTCTAATTTTTTATTTAAAATATGTGTATATTTTCATATTGTTGCTGGTAAAAAGCTTTCTAAATTATATTTCAATGTTTTCATATCTATATTTTACAAGTTTTTCGCAAAACTTTTCTTTAAAAATCACTGTAGGCATATATATATATATGTGAATATTATTTTCAATTTTTTTTTTTTTTTTTTTTGTTTGTTTGTTAAAAAGCGAGTAAACAATTACCACTACTAGACACAAAGTACACAACAAGTCACATTTAAGTGTGGTTATATTTATTATCCTTTTTGATCCTGGGAAAGTAGGCTTGCATATCATATGTTTGTATACTATATAAATATAAAACTGTAAAATTTACAAAAGAACTCTTGAAGCTATTCACAAAGAATAACAAATCTCTTCTACCATAGTTTTAAGTTTTCATTTTTCTCTCATAGCAAATTTGCGTTATTTGAAAATTTAAAAAATACAAATAAACATTTTAGCATTTATAGGTATTTTCTTTTTTTTTGTAATTTATGCTGATACTTTGGTTTGTAAATTTTTAACATAAAAATATTTTTGAATACTTACATATGAACATAAAATTGTGCTCACTACTACATCGATGCGCATTTAAACAGTCATGCATACACATCCATAATGCATAAATAATTAACAATTTTGTTGGTATGTGCTTCGCTGCAACGTCTATGTATGTTTATACTAAACTATGCTTAATTTAATAGATTTAACTTTAATTTAATATTTTTTTTTATTTATTAGGTAATTTTTGGTTTCGGTTGATTCTAGCGGCCTTTGAAGGGCTTACATGGTTCTAAGTATAATTTCACAATTGTTTCACTTCGATTATATGTAAGTATGCTTGTAGTAATTTTATACATATTTTTTAAAGCTTTAATTGCATTTATATAATTTCTTTTTGGTTATAATATAAATGAAAACGTTATAAAAACAATAGAAAATAGTTTAACAAATTTTAGTTTTTTATTTGCTAAACATTTAAGCGAAATAAAACGCATACGTTAACATTTTTTTGAAATTCTCAATAGAAATGCTTAAACTAAATGAGAAATATTTTTACAATCTTTTTTACAAAAGCAAAGAATATATTTATAATTTTTTTTTGGTTTTAATTTTATCATATATTATCTATATATTTGTATATATATACATTTTTTAGTATATATTTTCATATTACAATCATTTATAACTTCCTTCAAATTTTTTCCTTTTACGCATTTTTCCACAATTTATATGTAAAATTTGCATGAAGAGTTTTGCCACTATTTTAAACAAACTGTACAATTTATTTATGTTAATTAACTATTTTCTTTGGTTTTTTTATTTTATTGCCTTTCCTTTGCGCTCCTACACCACACATTTCACATTCAATTATTTGTCACTTGGTATTTGGTTAGATCTAACAAATGCTCGTAGAGTAGATCTTCATGCGGCGTAAGGCCGATCATAATCCAACCACAGATGGCGCCAATGCTACGCGTCACAGATAAACTACTCCATACGCTCAATACGGTGTTGCTGTACTGCTCCGGTGGAGAAAACAAGAGAAGTTATCAAAAACACGTTAATAAATTTGTTTAAACCTTTATAAATATTTTTATTGATAAATATATATAGTATTTGACATATTCCTTCATTCATTTAAACTCACCATTTCTTCTTGTGTTAGCGTCACATTCGCATTGCTGCTATAATAGAGTCGTTCATCTAATGAATCGGAACAGATCGTTAATATTATTGTCGCTATATAGATCATTGCAATAATTAACCAACGAAACGAAACCAATTCGGTGGCATTGCTGAAGTCCCAACGGCAGATGTCCATGCTGTAAATGAGGAAAGAAAGCAAGAAAAGCACATTAAAAAATTAAAAACATTGGGTTGCAAATACAGAGGAAAATGTGTATAAAACAACTTGTTATTTTATTTAATATTATTTATTTTGTTTCATTTTATTTTATATTAGTTTTTATATCACTTTATATTATATTATATTATACTTTATTTTATTTTATATTATTTTATATTATATTGTATTATTTTATTTTATTTTATTTTATTTTATTTTTTTTTAATTTTATTTTATTTTGTTTTATTTTATTTTTTTTTTATTTTATTTTATTTTATTTTATTTTATTTTATTTTATTTTATTTTATTTTATTTTATTTTATTTTATTTTATTTTATTTTATTTTATTTTATTTTATTTTATTTTATTTTATTTTATTTTATTTTATTTTATTTTATTTTATTTTATTTTATTTTATTTTATTTTATTTTATTTTATTTTATTTTATTTTATTTTATTTTATTTTATTTTATTTTATTTTATTTTATTTTATTTTATTTTATTTTATTTTATTTTATTTTATTTTATTTTATTTTATTTTATTTTATTTTATTTTATTTTATTTTATTTTATTTTATTTTATTTTATTTTATTTTATTTTATTTTATTTTATTTTATTTTATTTTATTTTATTTTATTTTATTTTATTTTATTTTATTTTATTTTATTTTATTTTATTTTATTTTATTTTATTTTATTTTATTTTATTTTATTTTATTTTATTTTATTTTATTTTATTTTATTTTATTTTATTTTATTTTATTTTATTTTATTTTATTTTATTTTATTTTATTTTATTTTATTTTATTTTATTTTATTTTATTTTATTTTATTTTATTTTATTTTATTTTATTTTATTTTATTTTATTTTATTTTATTTTATTTTATTTTATTTTATTTTATTTTATTTTATTTTATTTTATTTTATTTTATTTTATTTTATTTTATTTTATTTTATTTTATTTCATTAATTTTTTATTTAACTTACTTTTGTGTTGTTATTATATTTTTAAATTTTAATTAATTTGACTGACATTTGGCATTTAAACTATATTCGCTACAAAAGGTCTTTATAAATGTCAGAATATTTCCACAAAACATTCACTCACATATGAAATTTAATAATAATAATCATAATAATTGCAATAGCAAATATAATAATTCAAACAGCGCTTTGTAAGAACAGAAATGCCCAAGCCCACTCCCATTCACCCACACGGACGTAGCGAGCAGCATTTGCTTTTCTCTCCCACCACAGCGAATCCCACTCACTTACATTTAAGTTACAACAAATATGAGCACCAATTCAAACACATATAGTTACAAGCAAATCCACTTACTATACATTTAGTTCTTCACATACGAACACAGTTGACATTTAAAAAATAATTTATACAAAAACAACAATTTGATGTTTACGGAAATCATTGAAAGGGCGGAATGAAATAACGAAAAATGCCACAAATAACAAAATGGCTAAAGAAAATAAAAACACATAGCATACAAGAGTATCGTAGAAAAAAAGAGTGCAGCAGCTGCCGGCGAATACAGCTGTGAAAAGTGAAAAATATTTTCTGTTGAGAAAAGTTGGCATGTTAAAGGTCAACAAAAATATCTTTCTATAGCAAACCTACTACAGTTTTCTTTTTCTGCGCGATGTGCTTGGCATTGCAACAACAATGGCGTGCACTTGTACATGAATTATTAGCAGACTGTAGGTGGTAACCCTGCAGAGTTTTTAGATAACCAGGCTGAGATTATTTAAAAAAAAATTATCGGAAAAAATTTAGAATGAAATTTTCAATAGCGTGTCAAGCATTTACCCAAATTATATTAGCGCTGATCTAATTGGAAAGTGGTAAATAAAAAGACTCTTCCAGCTGAGACACTGCAAAAGGTATATACCGCCATTAGATCTGAGAAGTTGTCCTACTCTATCTCATAATTACTCTTTTCTTCTTGAAGTTCCTTTTAGGCTATACAGAAACTGTTATTAACTGCTATCCTTACTTGGTATGAAGCCAACAACAAGCTAGTTCAAATTTAATTTCCAAAAATGTATATGTATATATTTACATAGCAGTTATTTGAGCATACGAGACAAAATAAAAAATAAAACAGTGGTCCACAATGTCATAGTTAGTAACTAGTTGTCATCATTTTCACTGCCAATCACCTTCATTACCTGCTAGTTTTCTCGTTTAATTTATTTTTAATGCAACACGAGTAGATGGATAAATAAGTACAAAGGAATGTAAGAATGTAAATATAAATACGTACAAATGTCTGTATTGACAGTTTGGTATGGTGAGTAATGTCAACGTAAAAATGCACAATAACGTTAACTGAAAAATATAAAATACAATAAATAAAAGCAAAAATATTACAAAAAATATATATGAAAATTTCTCACCTCAGGCAGCCAGCAGTGAGCTCACTTCTGCTGCGAATGTATTTGTGTGAAATATTTATTTTATTATGCGCAAATGTATATATTGTGTGTATATGTGCTTATGTATGTATTTAGTTTCAAATGTCAAAGGAGCATGCATGACGGCACGTCATAAACAATAACAACAACAAGTGAATTCTTAAAAAGCGCAATGTTTGACGTGATGAAATGACAAAATACAAGCAATATATGCATGGATGAGACATACTGTACACTCATATATATGTATGTACATGTAACCCACAGTGAAATGAATAGCACTCAAATTAAAACGAAACTAGTTGCCAAACTAATTCAACTAATTTACCAAGTTTTTTTTTTCAAACATGTAACTAACAGAAGCTTACTAGTTTTTTACCAGTTCAAAATGAACCTAAAAATTTAACAGTATAAGTCTTATAATATATTATATAGATTTTAAATTAAAAAAAATTAAATTAATGAGAAAGTTGAGTTTTTTTCAAACAGAAACACACTACTTGTATACTAGTTCAAAGTGTACCTTATATGTAAAATTTAAAAGTTCAAAAAAGCTTTTAAATATTTAATATGTATTTTAAGATATATAAAATGAGAAAAAGTGCCTAATTTAAAAAGTTTTATTATTGACATCACGCTTAGATTTTTCGGATTAGTGCAATTTAGCACCGAAAATCACAATACTAAGCTAGTATTTTTTAACGTGTTTTATAGGTGATAAAAAGGTCAGCGTATGTTTATATGGGCACTAAAATTTGTATTTTTTTCATACAAACAACTGGTATTTATCGATCAGGAATCAACTAGTTTCATACTAGTTCAAAGATTACAAAAAATAACGGTAAAAATGAGTGTTTGCAATAAAATAAGATGACAATATGCCGTTAACGATATTAAGTGATCAAAACTAAAAGTTATATTAAAGAAATTTTTCTAAATATCCACTAAAAATATTATGAAAAAATTTTTAATACAAAAAAAATTGTTTCATTTATATACATATATTTTGAGTCAATTTAAATACGAAAAATATTTTGGAAACAACAATATCATTCTGGTAATAGTATTGCTACTTTTCGGGTTAGTCCAAGAAGTTATAGATAAAACTAGTACTTTTTAAAGCAGTGTCAGTAGTGCCTGTAGGGCTACTAAATTCATATATGGGCATGCAAGTGTTAGCTTTTTGTTCCAGACTATTCTATAATTACTTTCATATTTTGCATTTAAGACTGAAGTGTTAAAAATAAGAATAATACTATTTAAATTAAATTAATATTCACAAGCGTCAGCAAAAGCAAGCAAAAGAGTGAATAGAGAATGCATGTAAGAATATAAAAATATTAATATGTGCATACATAAATAAATTTATATTTTTGTTTTTCATTCATATTCTCTATGCTCGCCCACAAGCCTTAATTACATTTTCACTGAAAAATTCTTTTCACATAACTAAGTATACATGTATGTACATATGTGTGAGTGCAATGGCGAAAAATTGTTGCAGCCTTACAGGCGCACTTCAGCAAGAGCAACAACAATAACACACACAAATTTTCAACGCCTTAACGCCCACTACATTAGCAATGTTTACGCCTACGTGGCGTTGATGACCGTGAAGAAGCATTTTAAATTTATGATTTATTATCTGGTAACTGCATACACAAAAAACAACACCAACGCACACTCGTATACTACAAGCAGGCATAACAAGTGCTTCTCATTAACCTTATGGAAAAGTTTCTTTTAGTACTGTAGGGAGCAAGTAACCTACAAAAGTTTACTTTTTTCTTCTTTTCTTCTTCCTCTTCTTCTTCTTCTTCTTTTAATTTTTTTTCTGCAAGCTGCCACATCAATTAGTAGGTGGCTAATGTTTGAGCGCTCAACTTATTACTACATACATTTGTATATATCACAGCTCCACTTATTTACTACCACCATTTTCATTCAGACAAATTTAAATCTTTAATATTATTGATTTTATTTGGTCCCTCTCATGTGCCTTAATCCACTTTAAGGTCAAAGTGTTCTTGATATATTTAATACTACTTTCTGCTACATTCAGTAGGAAAATTACAAGCAATTTGATGAACCGAAATATGCAGAAAAATTGTTGAACATCCCCACAGTTCATTTGGAAAATTACTAACCAACACTTCTACCAACACTTTAAATTTGAATATTTAATTTACTACCTACACAAGTTTAACAAATACTTGGCTGAAATAAATTTTTTATTGCCCACAGAAAACTGAAAAAAATAAAAATATAAAGAAAAATTAATTTAAAAAAATGTTTTAAAATTAAATAAAAATATTTTTTGTCATTTTTTCGAAAAAAAAATTATAGAAAAATAAAAAAACATTTAATCAATTTTTAGTCTAACTTCCAATAATATAATAACACTTATTTCAAATTCTGTTCACACATGCACTTAATTAACTAATTGAGGGCATATCACTAATTAAGCCGCTAATTGCAAGCAAATTAGTAACATAAAATTGAGTTTCGATGTAAAATTTATAGCTCACAAATATATTTAACAAAAATTCAGTTGAACTAAGTTTCTCATTGCTCACTTAAGACCGAATGAAAAATTTGTGCGAAACTGATAATTAAAAATTAAAAAAAGTTTTTTTTTATGATTTAAAAAGTTATATAGTAATGAAAAATATTTATAAAAATCTAGATTTTTCCAAAAAAAATTAGTCTATTTTCTAATAACTTTCTTTAAATCTTGTTCACACTTGCACTTAATTAGCTAATTTAGCTGTAATTACAATTAAATTTCCTTCTTCTTCTTCACTGCCATAATCACCACATATGCAGCTATAGCCGACTTAACAAAAGCACATCATTCTTTCCTTCTGTTCGGTGTTTGGCGTCAATTGGAAATACCAAGGTTCCTCTTCACCTGGTTGTTCCATCGGATTGAAGGTCATCTGATGATGTCATTGGCCGTAGACTGAGTAGTCAATTAAAAATTAAAGTCCTCTCTCGACGAACAAAGGCCAACCTCTATAAGTCGCACATCATTCCCGTCCTTTATATGGTGTGGAGGAATGGAAGATGGCAACATCAGAGGAATCCGCCCTGGAAATTTTTACGAAAATGGTGGGCGTACTGAATGTACTGTACTACACTGAAAACATTAAGCGAGTTGAAAGACATTGGCTAGGCTGGCTAGGTAACATAGTCCAGGTGGATAAAAATACTTCAGCTATGAAAGTTTTCGATGCAGTAGCCGACGGTTGAAGTAGAAGAAGAGGAAGATCTCTACTCTGTTGGCAAGATCAGGTGGAGAATGACCGCTTGCCTTGGTATTTCAAATTGACGCCAAACAGTGAAAAGAAGGAAGTTGCGGCGCAATCTTCTCAACCGTGGTATAATCGCATAAGCGGTATCACGCCTATAAAAAAGAAGAAACGATTAAGCCAAGAAAATTTAATTTTCCTTAAAAAAATCATAAAAATTGCATAAAATCTAACAAACTAGGATCTAAATCTAACCTACAAAAAAACAGCATCTATGACGTACAAGCATACATATATGTAGTCAACCTTAGAGACAGGATTATGAAAAAGCACAATCACTTCAGCAAAGCCTACATTGACATATATTTTACCCAACAACAAAAAAAAAATAAAAGAAACACATTCTCATCTCCTTAAATGCACCTTCGCTTTCGCACACTACAGCCGGAACGTTAAAGGTCAATTTTACAAGCACTTGAAAATTTGCAACGTTGCATTATAGTGAAATACTCGCATGCGGGCGCTACTGCACACATATATAAGGGTGTGTGTGTGTACGTGTGTGCCTGCGGAGTAATGGCAATCTGTCAGCTGGTTGGAAGGCTGACTGGCTGGCTGGCTGGCTGGTTTGCTTGCAGTGGCCTTCTCACTCAGCACAGAACAAGAACTACCGTTGTAATTTATGTATAGACGAACATTATAAAATTATAAAACAGTGACGTCGACATTTTCGAAATGGCACAGAGCGAGTTGTAAGAGGTAGAGACAGCGAAGGTGAGAGAGAACGAGAGGTAGAGATGTTTGTAGGCGAGTTTTTTTTTATTTAGTTGGCCTTAACATTATTGAAAAGCGATATATACAAGTATATATATATANTATATATATATATATTTATATGCAAGCGCAAACCCGAGAAATGTTTGTTACAACAAATATTTGGTGTAAGCCACTCTTTATATACATAAATATATGAACGTCTGCGCCTATTTTCCACGCCTCTCAGCAACGTTCGAGTCTACATTTGCACCGTTAGTGCAATTTTAAGGTGGAAATGTGGCTGCAATTCGACCATACATATGTATGTATGTATGTATTTGTGCGCGCCTTGTAGATTTCTATCATTTACACATGTGTGCACATACATAAATATATATATATATACATATGCAATTTCACTATAAAGATTCCCACATTTTAATATTTGCGGTTTTATTCTGGTCTGAAGGTTATTAAAAATACACATCTCCATGATATTCTCTAACAAAGTAGCAATTCATATTTTTTTTTTACTTTTTTCTTTTACTTTTTTTAATATTTTGTTGTTGTGCTTAGCCAACCATATATGCTCGCATATTTATTTTTATGCAAACATGTGTATATTTATAAGCTTTGAGGCATATTTAATACAAAATCGTTCTATTATTAGCAAATAAAGGGTGTATTTTTAAACATGTGGCTTTCAAGAAGAAGACAACGGCATATAATTTACGGTTATGGTCAAGAATTCAGCCTCATTATCTTTATGTATAAGGGTTGTCAATGTGTTTTAAAAATGATCAAGGGCAAGTGACTGTCACGGCTGGCTCGAATAAATTCCAGCCGAGAAGTCCAATTTCCGACCACTTTTTGCAGCACTTCGGGCGATGTCCGAAATTACGCACTGAATACTCTCTACGAAGACGTCGCTCATCTTGGATTTATCTGCGCAGACAAGCGACTATATTTAACCTCGCCAAAAATAGTCCAGCAATGTTTGATCACACAATATCAAGCGTGACTTTTCGAGGATTTAATGGTGTCTTAACAATGGTTTGCAGATTGTCACCGCTTACAATGCCCCAAAATGCGTGAATTTTGTTTATAGACACAGCCTTTTTCTCATTCAACCAAGTAAGTTTTCTTATGAAAATGAGAATCGGTGACCATTTCGTTTAGAGCCCTAACCTGCAACAGCCTTGATAGTCATTCGGCTGCAACTCTTGTACGAGTAGCTCTTACGTGATGGTTTATAGACTCATTCAGGAGTTCTTCGATACCCTGCTCTACAGCAGCAATAGCGACTTCGGTGCGCTCTACGGTATCTCTGAGTTTGCGCATTATCCACAAGACCTAATAAACGTGGTGTGAATCCAATCCATGGTTACTCGAGTAACCGACTCTGCTGGATGATTATATGGAGCAAACATGGGTGCAGTGTGAAATGTTCCGTGCGAACCGCACAAGTAAGTCTGTTCATTATGAAACAACAAACCAAACTGAGTACTCATATCTATAAAAAAGCACCCTTTATACTTATTTTTTAGCTTTTTTAATATTATTTTTATAGCAATTTTTCTATATTTATTCGCTCGCTCTTGCTGTTCATTGCACACATGACTTGCTCTTGATAATTTTCATTGTTGCGGTTGTGGTATTTCCATAAGTTCATATGAGTAAGTGCCCTGCAGGGAGAAGGTAGACTAGTAGGAAAAAACTAGTATTTCTAAGATGAAATAGTACCAGTTGGTTTTTTGCACAGTTATACATCCAGCACGTCTGAGTTCGACTCTCAGCTACGCTCTGCTTTTTTGGTAAAGTATAAATTCAATATGCCTAAATGAACTGGTATTTAACTGGTATAAAGCTGATGCGGACGATTGACAGCTCGTACGATATTGCCCTAAATTGCTAAAAAAAAATACCACTTGCTTCCATGGCAAATACGAGACGAAAGATAAACTAGTTACTCCAAATATCCAAACCAGTTGGATCCAAATTAACAACTAGTATTTTTTCCTGCAGGGTATGTTTGTGTGTTATATTTATTCGCATATTACAAGCAATTACTTACTCTTTTGCAAGCGTACAAAGTAATTTTTCCACACATTTATTTCATTTATTCATTTCAAAATAAATTTGTGCTTAGAATGACGCATATAAATGGGCAAATAAATTGTTTGCATTTACTGTTGTTTTCTATCTTTGCGGTTAATGATAGAGGAAGTGTGCGGAAGTGTGGTGAAATTTCAAGCGAAGTGGGTTTCAATTGAAAATAACGCCAATAGCAGGCCGACTAAAAAAACTTAAAATAAAAAAAAAATGAAATTTTCGAAAGCTTTTAAAGCTCACAGATAGGAGAGTTTTATTTAATGTTTCCCAATCAACAGGATCAAAATTCTTAAAAGCTTGTAAGCTTGAACTAAAATATCTTGAGCGTAGTCGGCTTGATTTAGATGGGTTAAATAAAGCTAAAGAAGTTACTGCCACCGAGAGTTGGAATAATTGTCATTTAAGGGCGCGCCGTGACTTCTAAAACCAATCTAAACAAACCTAAAGGACCTCTTTTATAATTTTAAATTTATTTATGAATCTCCATCTTTCTCACATGCCCTCCAACGCGGGATTCACAGTGCCATAGACTTTCATACAGCTACTATGGGTTCAAGTATCTTAAAGCTTTTAGCAGTTTTCTTCTTTGAGAGCATAGGGGGCGCGGCCGTACGATGATATCAAAATCCTGTTGAGCTTCAACATTTGGCTGGAAACCATGACAGCCAGGAAAATTAGTCTCCACATTGAAGTCTTTACAAAATAAGCTTGGAGGCAGTCGAGGACTCTAAATATGGCTGATATAAAGGATATTTGCTCTACCACCTTTCTAAGGATTGAAAAACTAAATCCGAATCGATCACCCTATTTACGGGCTTCAGTTCGTTCAGTTATAATCCTGGCTAGAGCAACATCCAAAATTATAGAACGAATATTTCGCTTCAAATGTGAAAGTATCCATCAACCCATTTGGGAAGTAGGCAAGCTGGTTGGAACAACATACTCGTAAACGCAGATCGAAGAAGAAGCACTGACGTGAAACCCTGTCTTTGATTTGGATCACCATTTCGTAGTAGCCGAGCTACACGTTCACTAAAAATCTGGCAGCCGGAAGGCCGCACATAATGGATTATTTCGTTAATCTACTCAACTGGGCTGTTACTTCGTGAAATCACTTATCAGCAATTCAAAATAAACAAACTCTCAAGCGCCATTTCCTGTTCTCGTGCCGGCTTATAATCTGAAGGTAGCAGGCAAATATGAAAGACGTTAGGTATAGTGCCTTATTGATCCAACTGAAATAAGCTCATTCAACTGAAGGAAGGTGCCATTCGATTTTACCGAAATGTTTTCCTCAACTCATAAGATTCGTGAGTCCCAAAACCACTTTCATTCAAAGTCTAATTTACCCGTTTTACATTCCAATTCATTATGAAGTACTTACCGATCAAAAACCGAAACCATACACACAATTGCCAGACAATAGAATGTGTTCAGATAGATTTTAGCGAATGTTGCATAATCCTCTACGAAGCTAAACGATGACTGCGTGTCACTTAATATTGCTTCCACACCAGCGCCACCACCACCACCTCCACCGTCTACCACTGACGTTGCAACTGTGGTGGCCGCCACAACTGCTGACTCTGCTGCTGCTCCTGCTTGCTTCACATCTTTCGCAATAGTCTCGCCCGCAAGACTGAGTATACGCGACCAATCCATCGGATGACTACTCAAAACGAATAATAAATGTGCCAGAGCTAGACCAGCTAGCAAACCGTGGCAGATATTCGAGATGAGTAACCAAATTCGTTGAACAGCGCAGGCCAACTGTATATTAGTTGTGATCTCATGACGATGCCTGCAAAAACAACAAAAGAAGATTGTGTAAAGATGAAAGAGATTACATAAGAGATTATGGTATACAAGTATGTAAAGTAGTTAAGTGTATTAGGGTATGTTGGATAGACAAAATGTGCTCGTATGTAAGTAAATATTTGTTAATGAAGACAATCATGGAAGGAGCTTAGTGTCTATGCCTGTGTATAAGTGTATGCATGTTAAACGCCTCGTACTACTTTATCGTTTCACAGAAGCTGCTGCTTAAAGCTACCTCACAGCCACCGAGAGTTAACTCGAAGTACTCTTTAGCTAATTCATAATCGTCTATCTGTGCCTGTTTCTCTATCTCTCTCTCTCTCTGTCACATTCATGTTTCTTTTTGGCTCGTTCTATAGCTCTCTCTTTCCCTACCTCTTCACAACTCCTCTATTCTCTATCACTTTATAATTCTCTACCACTCTCTGTCGATCTGAACTCTACGTTTCGCTTTACCTGCCTCTTTCCATATCCCTATAACTCTCTCTGTCTCTTTCCAATACTATATTTGACTCTCTTTATCTATATAAATCACCCTCTCTACATCTCTATGTTTTTTCTCTCTCCCCTCTCGTATGCAAGCTATCCATATTGGAATATTTTCGCATAAGGAATTCCTAAAGCTCAAACACAGTGATTTGAGAGAGAAAAAAGGCTGCTTCACATTTCTCAAGTCCTCGATGTAAAAGCTATGCAGTCTTTATTACGTCCAAGCAGAGAGTGGATAATTCCGTAGTTCCTTGTCCGGTACGGATAGAGGCCCATATATTACGTTGCTGGTCACCGAGAAAAGATCCGAACTGGCATGAGCAATAGTAAGTTCCGGCAGTGGTTGAGCTGATATTGGTAAGCCGGTAAGGCACACGTGCTCTAGCGATCACTTGAAGAGCAACTTACGGAAACCCAAAAAAACTATTGCTGTGTTGTTTAAAGATTCTCTGATCCTTTTTGGATCCAACATGGATTTTAAAGCTTAAAACCAGGCTCTGTCTGGTTGAAATTCATTATATGTGGCCTGTGATCTTTAATATATTTCAGATTGAAAGCCACACATAAAAATCGACCAGCTTTTCATCTACTTTGTAGGCATCCATGACTCTAGAAGTGGGTATAGATAGATACTTTATAAGGCCGCCTCCTCCGAACGGCTATGTCATAAGAGACTGAGACACACTAAATTTTTCTGCTGAGAGAGGAGACAGCGAAAAAAAACATTTTCAAGGCTGCTCCCGCCAGGGCTGGAAGCCCACAACTATATATATCGTAGCAAGCACTTTCACAAACTCAGCTGGAGCGTCTTATATGAATGGTACAGCAAACCTCCATATTCGTCTTTCCAGCAGTAGTTTTCGTAAAGCAAAATTCAAGAAGAAACGAAGGAAAGATTAGCATCAAATTTCAATCGCAAATAACCACAATCCCACAAAGCCAATACGAATAAATTTGAGCCCCCTTTTATATATATATATATCTCTTCCAATACACCGCACACTACAAAAACAATAATTGTTGTGTTGTGGCGTCACGTCTACCAACGTAGGCGTAATATTGCCGCACACACCCAAAAGCGACCGTCGACCAAATCAAATAAAGAAAGAAATAACATGCAAGTCTTCTACACGCTAAGGACATTAGGAAACTTTCGATACGGTTGACACGCAAGTAGTCGAGGCCGTGCGTGTGTACTCTCGATATTTTTTGCTACTAACCAAAGGACGAAGCTCGTTGTAATTGGACGCAGACTCGAGAGTTTTCTTTTACATTTTTTTTTCTTTTCCTTTTTGTGGCAAATATTTTGCAAATTTTCGCAAATGAGACACATCGGTGGAGAGAGTTGGAGGACATACTTATACCTCGCTTGGATATGTGTAGCGATTGTACGGTTATTTTATTATTTTATGCTCCTTTTTGCGCTAATTTTCTCATTCACCTTTTTTTTCTAAAAATAGCAGCGAGGCATTCTTCAGCGAAAGCCGAAAATAAACTCAACTTATATTTAAATTTAATCCACACGAAATATTCTATAAATAAATTTATGAAGGCAGCTGAATTGCTACGCACTTTTGCCGGATTTCATGCGTAAAGGATTCACAATTTTCTTCGAAAGGGCGCGTACACATCTACTGTTGTTGGTAACTGTATACGTAGAAGAATTTGGGGTACTGTTAAGTAGGAACGCGTTGGTCTACTCTAGCTGTATTTAGTTTTGTGTGTGCGCATTTTCTCTTTTACGGTCTTCCATAAATTGCATGAACAAAGCAAGGAGCCAAAATCCTGCAATGAGAGCAAATGCTGTAGGTAGGAATGAAGTACAGTTTACCAAAATAATTTTTAGGGCAGCAGTATAGTCGTGCAGGGAAGAGCTATTAACGAATGGTAGAGTCAAACAATTTGCTACTCCACTTGTACTCCCTCTCCCGAGAGCACTAATCAGCAGGACACCATTCGTAGTAGAGGTTTCGTTGAACAAAGTTAGCTAGAAGGGAGGGTTTTCAAAAACCAAGGATAGTACAAACCAGCGTTACCTCTCTACCACCTAGTCGAGCGCCGATGAAGATCATATTTTTAGGAAAAACGAAAAGTCAAACAGATCGATGTCCAAAAACCACTGACATCCCGAACTTGTCTGAAAATTAAGCTGAAGTTTATCACGCAAGGCCCGGACACATTTGAATCTTAAACAAAACGGCAGTCAAGATGTCGGAAATGTGCCGACCAAAAGCTCAGTCAAGATCGGGATGGGCCTCTACGGGCCGTTTAATAACAAGCGAACGTTTCTTACAAGGCGACTCCTTATCATGCGACCACTTGCAGTAATTTCTGGAGAAAATAATATGAAAATAGAGTTGAATACAGAAGGTACTATCCTCACTAAGAGCGTACAACTGCTGGCGCGACTTTATTTGCCTCAAAAATAGCACCTTAAGATCCCTGCCTTGAATACCAACGCATAATCACTCTTGCCAATAGGTGCTACTTTGGACCGAGCAGGCAATTGTACAATAAAAAAAAAGTATAGTCCTCTCTCGACGAACGAAAACCAAACTCTACAAGTCGTTCACCATTCCGGTGCGTAGGCATGGACGATGACAAAATCTGATAAGTCCGCGTCGGGAGAATGGTTTTGCGTGAGCTTTATGGTCCTCTGCGCATTGGCAACATTATAATTAATACTGCAGCTTATGAAACGTTTAGGCGTATGAGATACACGGCGACATTGAAAACATTCACCGAATCAAGGACAACTTTAAAAGGATTTGATGTAAGCAGAGGTAGAGGAGGACCTCCACTTCGTTGGAAAGACCAGGGAGGTAAGGACCTGGCTGTATTTGTCGCTGTTGTTGATTCAAGGCGTGTCTAAGGAATAAGTGGAAAGTGGGAAATCGTTTTAGGTTCCGCAACTAAAGAACTCTCAATAAAGGCCAAAGCAAGACATAGAGATAGACGCGCAATTCTTACAGCGGCTATAATAATGAAGATTGTGTGGATCCGGTAAAGGAGTAGCCTTCAATTTTGTCTACATTCATGCACTCAATTTATAAACACAGAGCTCAAGAGGAATTAACTCGGACCTATGGAGGCAATCTAGGGCACAGTATGCGTACATAATCCACGCCAACCATTGACAGAGCCAGTTAATAATTGAAGATTGACATTATCTGCCAAATGGTAGTCATATCCTGCATCGGATATGGTACGATAGCCCAAACATATAATCAGTTGTTCGATTTTATGCAATTGGCAACACAACAAATTTAAGCGGAAACTGATGTATTTTCACCCAAGCCACTGAGTAAACTTTAAATGGAATTGTGAAAAAAGTATCGAAATTCGCTTTAACTGACGTGACATTTGCCATAATAACATGTCATCGACGCAGAATCAGATTCAGCATTAGTTTTAGCTTACACCAGCGCAAATCCCACGCCCACACAACACAAAGGCAGACGACGACGACAACGATTGTACAATTTTGTTTTTTTTTTCCGAGTTTGTGTTGTTGCTGTTCGATGTACGGTGTTATTTTTGCACAACTAACAATAACTAAGCAATAATACTCACCTTCCACACTCGGCATCCAGTAAACAACGCGTATCACCAAAACTGCTACTCGCCCGCAACATGCCAGCATGTTCCAAACCGCCAGCCAAGCTGCCGCCCGCGGCAGACAAGCGTTGTACACCACCAGCCCCACTGCCACTACCAGGACCACCAGCGCCACTGCGCCCACTGCCACCGGCGCCACCTGAGCCGCCACTACCGCCACCACTGCCACCACCCATACCGCTAACACCCACAAATGAATGTTTATAATAGCAGTGCTCAACTGGTCGATATCCCGATGACGTCTGCAGGAACATTTTATCAATGTGTGCGGGCGTATCCTCGGTGGGGGAGACGACCGGTGTGAATGGATTGTAGATTTCCTCACCCTCCGCTGGTACAATGTCATCGGAAAGCTCACGTAAGATGGAAGAGAGACCGCCAGCTGAGTAAAGTTTGCCTACGGAAGAGAGATGATGGTAGAGAGAGAGAAAAAAAAATGTTTGCATTAATAAAAAAGAGAGATTGAGATTGAGAGAATGATAAAAATTAGGAGAACTATGAGTTTAAGGTTGGAGAAAGAAGGGGAGAGAGGGAGCTGGCTTGTGTTAGTGTAAATAAAAGACCACAATCAAAATGGACTCCGGTAAACGTAACGTAACAAAAACACAGATGTCTAATAATCAACATTTTCTTTCACTGATTAAGCCCACGTTACAGTAGAATTTCCGAAAAGTCGATGGAACTTAAGGTAGGCTTCCCTTTTGGAAGGTCTAAACTGGTCCAAAACTGCTTACTCGAGAGTACTTTAATTAGGTGAAACTTTGACGAACTGAACGGAAGGAAATATAAAGACCGAATCCAAGTTTGCTCGTGAAGCAAAAAACAAACTGTGCAAAGTGAGATCCAGGTTTTGAATTTAAATGTCTTTTAGTGGTAATATCGATCCATTGTCGAGCTGCGTGCAGTAAAACTATGAGTAACAGACTCCTCGGTCCATCAAGGATTTTACTAAGATCTTCGATTGGAAATACAAATACTCTAAGTATCGGACTTGAATCTTTCACAATTCGAGAATACCATACACCACGGACCACAGTACTTCGAAAATGCACTGCAATCTTTGAAAGCCTGAAATGTGGAGTGGTAAAAAGTAGGGATACTGAGCAGATCACTGCATTTTATGTCTGAGGTGAGAGAATTTATGAGAACTCCAAAAATACCGAGCTTCTCTAGAATTTTTTTAAAGGTCTCGTCGGATAAAAAATTAAAATCAGGTAAACAGAGATTCGAAGACAGGTTGTAAGCTTTTTTTGGTAAGTAGTCCATAGGCGACCTGACAGCCATTGGACTCGCTATTTATGGGATCAGAATCGGTTAATGTATCGGTATTCTACGCACTCGAGCCTCTCATATATGTCCGCTCTCACTGAACAAGAGAGTTTTCAACGCAAAGAGCTTTTGGAGAAAAGAGCTCAGAGTAAAAAACCTACTTCAGCTGTTACTTATAAATACATATGGACTCTCCACAGCTACTCATATGTCTGTGAAACTTAAGTACATTGTTGTTTTGCTTATTTCCTTGGAGCTGATGCAATCTAGTCTCAGAGTTTTTTATACCCACTTATTGGTTGCTGTCAGGCATTCTCGTGGGCGACACTCACACTTGTGGGAACTACATATTGTGAGGCTAATAATAGATTTTGATTGTACTGTGTGTGGGAAATGGCGAGCTCCTACGAACTTCCGTTCGGAGCTAGTTGGCTGTGGGAAATGTCGCAGTTCATTTATGAGCTCAAACGCAAGTGACATTTAATGACAGCACGAAATGAAGCAAAAGACATGTAAAGAAAACAGAAATGTTGATTTTTTTTCTTCTTCTCCAACCACACGCAGAGAAGACCTAAAAGTTTTTTTAACCACGACAACAACTATCGCTTGCAATGCATACTCTCACTCACTTTCGTTCGTCCAACGCATACTCACTTATTAAATGCCCACGCTTATCCCGTTGCGATTTCGTCTTGCGATGCACTCGTCGCTCATCATAATTTTGATCGATTTCCAGCTCACCCGACAGCGAGGCGTCATTCATCTCCGAACATTGCTTCAAATAACGCATTAGCGTCTCGTTCGCCTGTCGCACTTCCAACTCACCAGCCGCGATTAGTTTACGTTCGCGTCGCCTACGCGATTCCGATTTGCTACGCTTGCGACGCGGACTCTTCTCCAGGCTACTGCGTGAACGTACCGAACGTTGGGCGGGACTCGCCTGCGGATCCGATAGAGATTGCATTTTACGTACTGTACCGCAACCGCCAGCTGCGCCGCCACCACCGCCACTACCACCTCCACCACTCGCTACGCTACCGCTACCCACACTCAACGCAGATGGTGTCGGCGAGCTGTGCTTCAATTCACGATCCATGAAACCCAATATGCCGCGATGAAATGAGGCGTCCACCTCCTGGGTACGACGCGCAGGAGACTGTGGTGAATGTGTACGACGATGACGGTGTCCGTGGGTAATCGTAGGTGGTAGCTGTTGCAGCGTTTCACGTAAGCTCAATGCGTCGCCGGAGGAATTGCGACTACTACCACCGCCGCCGCCTCCACCGCCAGCACCATTCGCATTGGGCGCTGTAGGGGACTCCAATTGCGTGGCACCCTCTTCTTTCAACGACACAACGCCAGTTTCTGCATGAGCATTGTTGCCACCAGCATCCTGCACACCAACTTCATGCTCATCTTCATCTCCATCCTGTGGTGGCGGCGAGTGTCCATTTACAAGCAAAACCGTTTGTTGTGAGGTTGTCGACTGACTTAAAGACGTCGTGCCCAACGGATCCAGCGTGTCTTGGGAGTGGGAACGTCTTTCATTTACCGTGGTGACAATTATGTTAGAGCAAATTCCCTCCGCACTTCTAATCTCATCGTCACCCAGCTCAGTGAGTTCGGTGTGTATATCAGCTGCGCCGGTGGCGGTAGTGTCGGCGGTTGCGGCTAATCCTTGCGCACCGTTTTGTGCTCTGTTAGTCCGCGCCTGACCACGACGCTCACGCACTGGCGATTGAATTGCGTTTGAGTGCGTTTGCTGTTGTGTTGGCGACTGTTGCAGTGACTCCACAATCACTTGTGCGTCGTTCAACATCGTCGTTGTCGTCGACACTGGCGTCACATTTGTCGTCGTGCTGGTCGTTGTTGTTATCGCATCCGTTGTCGTTGGGGATGGCACTGGTGCTTGGGCTTGTGCTTGTGCTTGCGTCGCTATCACTGTCGTTGTTGTCCTATGATTATTGCTCTGCCTTCGCTGTTGTTGGCCAGCGCTACCATTGCTATTACTATTATTACTGTTTGAGTTGCTGTTGTTGCTGCTATTTTGGCTCTGACGCTCGTGCCGATGATGACGCGAATCCGAGCGTCGGTGTCGATGACGGTGCACTTTCGGGGTGGCTTCCATCTTTCCTGTTTATCTTCTCGGTCTCTTCTGGCAGTGCGCCGAGCTTTCAACCTACACGTCAAGTAGGTTGGCGCTTGCGTTTTACTCCACTGCACTTGCACTTGCACTGTGTTTTGACTGTCGTTTACTGTGTTGGAGGTTCGCAGATTTTGTGTGGTTGGCGTTTTAGTTTTTAATAAAAGAGTTAATATTTCAAGTCAATAAATCGCATTCGTTCCTTTTTCTTTTCCTTTTTGACTGTTTGGAACCACTTTAGTTTTCTAACCACTGGTTCTGCTCGTTTTTATTACTTGGGATAAAAATTAGTTCGTTTTTGAGACGATTTTGCTGTTTTTAAAGTAAGATTTTTATATTTTCTCACTTTCTTTCCTTAAATTATTTACTTAATGCTCACTATTTATTAATTCGCTCAATATTTTACTGATTTAGAATATTTTTGTTGTTTTAATGAAGTTTAATGAAGATTTTTCATTAGTTTTGGTGCCTCTTTATTGTTTTTGAAGAGTTTTTTGCCGTTTTCGAAGCAGGTTTTCTTGTTTTGCTTGAATTTTTATTGTTTTTGACGCAAATTTTTTATTTTTTAAGTGTTTTGTGCTGATTTTGAAATTTTTTAGCTTTGAAAAATTTTTGAAATCGCCTCTATTCATGCATTCGCTATATAATTTTCTGATTTAGAATTATTTTGTTGTTTTAGTAAACTTTTTTCATTGGTTTTGAGACGCTTTTGTTGTTTTTGAAGTATTTTTTGTACTTATTCTTTATTTTTTATACTTCCTTCTTCTTTCAGAAATGTTTTTTGTTGTTTTTAAATTTTTGTATATTGATTTATAAACTTCGCTAATTGTTTCATATATTTTTTTATTGTTTTTGGAAACAATGGTTGTTTTCGAAGTGGTTTTGTTGCTTTTGAAGCGTTTTTATTGTGCCAAATACTCTCTTTATTGGTTTGGAGAAAACTTATTGTTTTCGAGGTGTTTTTTTTTTTTTGAAGTGTCAGTTATTGTTTGATTTGTTTCTTTTGTTGTTCAAGAATCTTATTTGTTATTTTCGAATTCTTCTTTGTTATTTTCGAAATATTATTTATTGTTACTTCAATTCATTCTTTTATTGTTTTTTGGTTATTTTCGAAGTGTTTTTGAATATGTTTTCATGTTTTAAGAAATTTATTTACAGTTTTGAAAATGGTTTTCTCATTCTTCAACAGCTTTTCATTGTTTTAGAAACATGTTTACTGTGTTTGAACTGATGTAATTATTTTTGAGGTGTTTAATTTTTGTTTTTTATACTTCGTTTATTGTTTTTGAAAAATTTTAGTTCTTTTTAAAGTATTTTATGTTAATTTTAAGTTATTTTCATTTCTTCTTTCATTGATTTCTACCTTTTTAAGACGTTTTGTTGTTATTTTGTAGAGCTTTTAGTTGTTCTTGAAATGTTTTTGTTGTTTTAATACTTGATTTATTGTTTTTGAAACAAATTTATTGTTTTCAAAGTGTTTTTTGTTATTTTTCTTTTTATTTAAAACTTTTTTATAAGTTTCTACACTTATATCATCCCTATTATGTTTTTACTTTACTTATTTAATGTTTCAAACTGTTAATTTTGGTTGATTTTTTTCGTTTTCGAAAGGTTTTTGTTATTTTTGAAATACTTTTTTCACTTTATGGTCTAAGCCAATATGATATAATTGGAATATTTGTTGCTGTTTTTCTCTTTCATTTAGATTGTTGTAATTTCTGAATTGATTTTTATTGTTAAACTCACTTCTGTGGTTGTTGTTGATTTATCCAGACTTCTCACTGTTTTTTTTTATTTCTTTATTTTTTCCCTATCTTCGTTTGTACCTAGAAGACTATTCACTGCAATTTTGTTGTAAGTTTTTATTTAAATTTAGTTGTATTTTCATTGGTTTTTTTAAATTTGTTGTTGTTCTTTGAGATTTTTAATATCTGTGAATTTTTTCTTCTCCAATATATAAGCTAATGCTTCAGTTGTGTCTCGTTAGCTCTGGTTTTATTTACGGGCATTCTGAAAATTATTTTGTTGTTTTTCAATAGATTTTTACTGTTTTAATAGCGTTTTTGTTGCTTTTCTACGAAGAAAAAAACAGTTTGCTTATCCTTCGAATATATTACTATTATTTGTATTTTTTCAAAAATTCTTTTTACGATTCAAAATATATTTCTACTTTTCAAAACCAGATTTTTCACTTGTTTTAGTCGTTATTTTTATTACTTTTATCATAATTCTACTTGAAATTTGTTTTTGTTGTTTCTTATTTATTTATAAACTATTTTCTTTCGTTCTCTCTTTCTCTCTCTCTCTCTACATGAAACCTTCAATTTTCATTGACCCACAAAAAATAGAAGAAAAAGTCGAAATCTAACGCTGTTTTGTAGCGCTTTAACGGCTCGTCCGCCACAACTGGCTCGCTGCTACTTTGTCTTGCTCTTAGAATGCCTCTTCTATCACCTGCTTGCCACGCGCCTACTACAACATCAACAACAGCAAGAACAACGACAAGACCAGTACTTATTGATTTTGTGTGTTTTAATTGAGTTTTGACATTTGATTTAACTGTCATTTCGCGCTTTTATCGCTCAATCAAGTTGTGTGCCTGTGTGTGTGTGTGTTCTGTTTAAATAATCATAGTTTGTGTAGCGTCTTTAGTTGCTTACTTCCTGTGAAAAATAGGAAACTATTATTGTCACTCATTTTATTTTGTTGTTATTTTTTTATTGTTGTTGTTGCAGTTTTTTTCTTACTTATATGTAATTTATTTTCTTTCTTCTATGCATCTTTTTATTGGCATTTAAGCAACTCGTTGCTAGCGTCTCGTGAACCAATTCGTTTTGACCTAAATTTAAAAATTCTGGGCAAGCAAAAAGAAAGAAACAAAAACAAAAAAAAAACAAATATATGCAATAGTCTTTGAATTGCATACTTTTAGGCCATCGCAAGTGTATCCTTCAACTGTTGGTTTTTTCAAGTCAAAGAAAATATTTATTTTCAATACTTTTTATAAAAAAAAAACTAAAATTTCTTTCCAATTTCATTCCGATTTTCTCACTTCAGTTTTCACTTTTACTACTGCTTCCTCTTCCATTGATTTGTTTGCCACACAATAGCTTATTTACTTCCTGCACACACAACAAAGCACACAACACTACATACGCCACATACACTCTACATACAGCTCAACTGTGTGGCTAATACTGAGTGCTTTCAGTATCAAAATACTTCAAAAACGCTTAACAGTTATTAATTACAAGCGTTGCTTGTTTCGCGACGCGTTAACTCGCGTTCACAGCTACTAAGCGACTGAATGGTTCAAGCAATGCTTATTGCCCAAAATGGCTGATTTTCAAAGCTAAATTCTCAGTCAGCCAGCCAACCAGCCAACCAGCCAACTAGCCAGCATACTTTTGCTTGTTGTTGACGACCTGCCTGCCATGCCATTGACAATTTGGCTGGCGTTTCGTTGCTTTCTCTTCCTTTCAATATTTTCTTTTCCTTTTGTCGTTGTTATTGTTGTTGTGTGAAAGCTTTATGATGACGTCAGCGGAGTTTTTTTCTTTTTTTGTGGCAAATCGTTCACGATAGTCCAACCAAGCTAACCGAGTCGTGCAAGCAACCCTTGTCGTGGCATGCTAATGATTGCTAGTGGAAGAAGGGGAGAAAAGAGAAAGAGAAGTAGAATATGTTAATGTTTACGAACAACGAATATACACGTACCATTGGTTGCAGATTGCTATGAGAAAAATAAAACATTCAGTAAAATATATATTCTATTATACACTCACGCTCATCCACTCTCTATTCGCCTAAGGGTAGACACATAGTGTAAAGCTGTTTTAGCATAAAAATTAACAATTTTTCCTTCCCGGTCAAGCTCCTCATCGAGTGTGTGGTGTACGTCTTGATATTTTTACAACAAGTGGAGGTACCTACAGTTCATGCTGAGACCGCTTCGCACGACCGTTGGATCTTTGTGAGGTGCTTATATTTAAAAACAAAAAATCTCTGCAAAAAGTAGATCAGAACCTGGACAGCTTCTTAAAAAACTTAATTTGTTTAAGTCATAGAAACTATTTGACAAAATTTCAAGTCACCTCTTGGAGATTTGCGGATTTACAAACGAACACTGAAGCTATTTTCGGCCGAGCTGGAGCCCTAACTATCTGGGCTTGTGTGATTTATTGGTGAAGAAATTGGTTTGATATTCAGGCGCTCTGCGGTCGACCAATTTCGTAGCAGCTAGAGAGTTTTGACGCGCCCGAAAGAAATGATTCGTTAGATCCGGCAAGGTCCGAGCTATATGCTGCGCATCAAAACTTCTTAAGTGAGCTCGGTAATTGTTTGCCTGATCATGAGAGATGTCGAAGACTGGCATTGTCATAATAAAACACAAAACCTTCTCTGTTGAGCAATCCTGTATGCTTCTTACAAGTATAGCTCAGAATTGATCTGTTCGCCATATACTCAAATACACCTTTTTTGCCTACCCTAACCTTACTCCTCAATTCACTAAGTACGGAATATAAATCTCAATTTCAGCATTGCTATGTTCGAGTATTGCCTCCCTCCCGATCCCACTCATTACGTTCTCTCTTTCACTCGCAAACTTCTTGCTCACTAAACACTCTAAGCTCCTTGTTTTGCTCTTTTTTCTTTGCACTCATAGTTATTTGTGTGTCTGTTTTGTATACTTACGATACACTTTATTACTGCTAAAACCTTTTTCTCACATTCAGTTTTACTCGTCTTACGTGGGAGTATTTTCGGCAATTGTTTTTGGTGTGCACATTCAAATACAAAAGTATCTATTTGCAAACAAATTAACTTTATGGATAAAATCTATTTTTAGCTCTCAAATATTTTCCATCTCCTGTAGAGGGAAGAGTCCTGATGGCGTTACACTGAAAAAAATTAGAATGGAATTACTAAAATGGGTCACTACTCATTTAAAGCCTTTCCTCGGGGAGGACCTTTTTGAGTGTGATGGAACTTTTGGTTTACAAAGAGATGATATACATATATGGATCCTTTTCCCACGGTAAGGTATAACCACTTTGGTGGGTTTGATTTCGAGAGGACCATATCTTGAAAAGAAGCTTACAATGTTTGGTAAATCCTTCACCGCCATAAACTATCAATACTCACCATATTGTTGTTTTTTAGACGGATAATTGCTATTCGGAGTTCATCATAGTCATGTGGGGGAACATCTATCAACAATTGAAGGTTCGGGCTTCTTAATCAGGGTTTTCAATTTCACTGGAATGAAACCAACTGTAAAATGATCTCCAGATCACCTTTTTGTTCATATATATATATAATATATATATATAATTAAGCACCTCAGTCTCTCTATTTTCGTAAGTAAAAGTATTCTGCTTTTCTCCAAAACTTTCCGTCTCTCTTCCATATAGCCCGCCCGCCGTTGCGGTCAATCGTTAAGGTACGAGTTGGGTGGACCCATGG